TACAAATTCAAAATTTTAAAATTCAAATCAAATGATGCTCAAACTAACTATATCAATATCCAAAACAAGCACTCAAAACAAAAAATGTCCAAAACAAATAATGTTTAAAACAATTTTTTTTTTTAAAGTCTTCACGGGGCGGGGCATCTCTGCCCCGACCTATGACCCGAGACGGGGCACCCCGCCCCGCCCCCACCAACCCGTTCGGGGCGGGTTTTTTTGTTCCATTCGGGACAGGGTGCCGTGGGAACAAGACGGGACGGGGAAAATTGCCATCTCTACGTTATGACAATTGAAATTAATTATCCTATTTAACTAGTTTCTTTATCTTTGTGAAAGCGATAGAGTATAGACTATTTTTATTTGTAACGCTCGATCTTGGAAGAGTAACAACCTAATTCGAATTTCGTTTTTAATTCTTAGAGAAAAACTTTCTCGTAAAATTTTGTATCAAGTTTAACTAGCCTTGAATGATGATTTTTTTTCCCCTCTCCTTTTAACTTCAATAGAGGTTGGTGGTGTGGAAATTTCTTCATATAGAAAATAGACCAAATCCATGGTAGATTCCTTCTTATCTACATAGTGTTAACTTATTTGAGAAAAAGTTGAAAAAAAAATAAAAATTAAATCGTATTCCCATCCCATTAATCAGTAATCACGCGTCACGCATTAATTAAGAATTCTTTTGATTTCCTATGGTTTTATTTCACATACATTTGACTTTTGACTTTAAAAGAAAGAGTTAAAACACAAAGTTATACGATTGAATTTAACATATCAAATTAATGTCATTAATGTTGGATTCGTACTTGTTTGGTATACAGTATTTGTACGACATGTTTTAAATACAACAAAAATGTTAAAAACAAATTTGCTACATAATATTTTCTATAAATAAAATTTTAAAATTTAACCCTATTTTCTTGATATTGCATGCTTAAAACTGTGCACCAAACGAAACCACGCATTGTAACAAAATATATAAAAGATTAACAGAGATTGGTCCCAACTTTTCTTTGACCAGGTCCGTCAATTTCAATTTCATACTCAGTAGAAGCAAACTTTGAACGTTGAATTAGTCTACTGTAGAAAACGTTTTCTAATAAAATGGATATCACGTTGTTCTCCGAAGAAGAAATTGTCAAGTTTGGTTCACGACTTAGATGATAATAACGTAAGCCTAATTAAACACGACAAATATGTGTGAATGGTTCTAACTTTCAATAAAAATCTCGTGCAAGAAACTGTAAACACGTACAAAAGTTTTCTGGACCAACGTGGATTCAAATAATAGGAGCGATGCCTTGTGAAATCATTGATCTGGGATCGAGTAAAAAGTGTAAAAGTTTTATTCAAGTCCATCGGTTACACTATAAGCATGTACATACAAGATTTTAACCAAATTCGTTGGTTTGACTAACGAAAATTCTGATTTCACAATTTAGGTGACAAAAAAGTTACTTATCGGAGCACATTCCTAGAAAAGTGTGACGAATTACTAAAAAAAACTACATCTATATCGCAAAATAGCAAGCAGGTACTCAAAATAAAAATGTACAGTAAGAAAACAATTACAGTACCCTCGTGTTTTTAAATAAAAATTACCCTTCATGGCACATCTCTAAGTGGTAAAAGGGGAAGGTAGAAAAACTCTAATTTTGCTTGAGGCTGTCACGTCAAGGATTCGAATCCTGAAATATGAATTTGGCCCTTAGGTAAGTGCAAGTGTACAAGCAACTTTCCACCCTATACCATTGGAGGCAGAACATGCAATTTACTTCTTTCACCAAAATTCAGGATAAGGCTAAGGGGGGGCATTCAAGGATGCGGCTCATCCTTTAAATAAATTTAAAATTACCAGTAAACAAATCTTACCAACCTATTGATAAGTCAGCACTGGCAACTCAATTATTTTTGTCATTTCTCCGCAACTTGGACAATTCTTATAAAGTGATCCATCAGTTACTTTGGTGCCAGAAAACAATCAGGCATTCAGGTTCACGTTCTTCTTTCGGGTTAGATTCATCCACTTGCAAAGAGTACCCCTCGAAAACTAATCCGTCTGCAGGTACTTGATCGCCGATCTTCAAGCAAACTATTTGTCGAACAACAATGTCCAATATCCATATATTGTTGCTTCCAACAAATATGGATATCAGACATCGTTGTTAGAGATGTGGTTTGTCTGAAGATTGGCAATCAAGTAGTTGCAGACGGATTATTTTTCCACGGGCATTCGTTGCAAGAGGATGAATCTAGCATGACAGGTGAAAGCCATCATGTCCAATCAGTCAATCTCAAAATCCCCTCTTGTTTTCAATTGAGCAAACGCCGCCTCTTCAAACTCGATTAAAGAAAACTTTATCAGTAGGCAAGGTTGGTTAGCATTCCTTGTCTTTGTCGTTTCGATACTTCAACAGATGAAGATGTATGGGAATAAAGAGTTCAAATTCACCGGAATGTTGCCGATCTGATTCATAGATTGACTTTCGTAGTCAACTACTCTTGCTTATTCTTTGAGCCTATAGTTCTCTTCTCTTTCAATGCTACTTTTCCAGTGTGTCATCTAGTGCACTTTCAAATGCTGTCGAGTCTGACCAGGCTATACTGTAAGTGTAGAGTTGAAGAGCTAAGTTTTGCACGGTAGTGCAAAAGAGCCAAGTCCATGAGAACCAGCTCGAAACAAAACCAAAAGAACTTGTTTGTGGGTCGGACAAAACCACTTATCAATTGTGGCTGCATCTTGACTTCTCGGTTGGCATAGCAGTACAAGAAAGACCAAGGTATTATTACACGAATTGGAAGAGCATCAAGATCATCATTTATTAACAATATTACCGCTTTTGATCTGTAATTTTTTAAGGTTCATTAATGAAAAGAAAAAGAGGTTTTTTTTCCATCTGCTAGCATTGAGGTTTGGAAACGATTCTTTATCAACGGCCCACCCTT